TGTATTAAATTACTAAAATTTTATCATAATCAAAATTTCATTATTTTTGTTTTATGAAATAAAAAAAAACATTAATTTTTTTTATTGTTTTCCTTTCCAGTTTTTAAATCTATTCATTACAAATTCCTTAAAAATACTTTTTAAATCACACACAAATTATTTAAATTTGGTGTTTAACATCTATTTAAATTATATTATTACATAAAAACAAATATATCAATAAATTTAATACATTATTTTTCTATAAATTTCATTGAAGGGGTGTGAATTCGTCATCCCATTTGATATTTAATTAAATAACATCAGCAAAAATTTCCTCAAAAACAAAACAACTTGTTGAGCTACATTTGTAATAGATAGATTTAAAGGGACATGTCACTTTAAACCTCTCTCTCTCTCTCTCTCTAACAAAATTCTGAAAACTGCTATAGTCAAAGATGATGACATAATATTAATTTTTCTATTAAAAAATAAAAGAAAAAAAAACTAAACTTTCCAGAATGAGACAAGGTCGCTTAAACTACAGTCGCAATTTGCAGACACAATAACATTATAGATTTTGCCTTACCTTCGTCGAAATAGCCACTTCTAGCGATATCTTCGAAAGAATGTCTCGTATCCTTCAAAATTCTCCTTAAGTGCTTGCAGTATTTGGCGTATCTATTAAATTCATGTGGTAAATTCGCAGCCATTACTAATCACATTTGAACGAATAACTTTACATCCAAACTTCTGCTCAACTAACTTCCTTCTGTTTTGACGTCACCGACAGTTTTTCTCGTGATTGGATGACTCAGCTACATCTGGTGTCGTAGGAAGCAAACTGAAGCTACAAAGGTTGCAAATTTTGGAGTTTGCGCTTTTGTAAGAAACAACAAAAAGAGGTTAATTTAGGACAAAGATTGATGATTACGTCCTCAGTTAACCCCCGTTTAATCTTATATGATATATTATATTTATCTTTACTATATTTTGTTAGCATTTGATAAACGCGTGCAATATTTCGAAGATTGTATAATATCATCTATCCACAGTTCTCTATATTTTATCTCTATAAACTGATTTTTAGGCTACATGCGAATTCTCTATAGATTACAAATTTTATAGATTNTGCAATATGCAATACAATTTGTTTTTGTTTTTTAGATAGAATGATCGTACTTACAGATCCTAAATTTTGGTTTCCAATAGTTTAAAAATAAAAAAAAAGATGATAAATCATTTTCAACATTATTGCAATATTGTTAGCAAAATTGCGCGATTAAGGGCAGTTTTGAAGAAAATTACGAATCATTTCTGAATAACATTTAAAGGAACAATTAATTTTTTAAATAATTTTCAGGCAAAATAATGTTTTCCGATTTCCTCATTTCTGTTAATTGTGATCTAAAATTTGGTAAAAGAATACGCGCATCTACAAAGCGCATAAAGAAGCCATGTATAGAAACAATATATTTAAATGAGATCTTTAATTAAGTTTAACTTTTATAAATTAATTCAAATTATTTGTCTATTGTAGATTAAACTCTTATCTCTAATGTATCATAGACATTTAATCTATCTTAAATGTCTAAAAATCTTATATTTTGCAATAAAATATTGTTTGAATTTTAAATGAATTGGTGAAAATTATAACAGCAGTAGCTGGTATAAATAATAAATCGATATTAAATTACTTATTAAATGCATAATCAATTTTTATAAAATTAAATTACTGTTTATGTACGTTTCTTTTTCAACCTAATCATATCTCATAATCTGTCATGTATATAGGTCAATAAATTAAAATAAATGATGCAACTTAAAAGTTAAAATTTCCTGATTAAAGTTTTCGATTTAATTTAATATGTGATCAAACTCTTAATTAAAAGTTGCGTCAAGGTCTGTACCACAAGAATGACTGGAACAAAGTTATTTTTAATCATTATGCTACTATTTATTATTCAAATATTAAAAATTAATAATAAAAAATTGAAATTTGCAAGATGAAGAGGACGTTAACAACTTCTCCATTTAATTATTCTAAATCAAATATAGATGCTTAAAAATATAACCTCAAAAAATGCATATACACTTTTAGTAACGTTAATTTATGCTTGGTTTTATTAAATTTGTTTAATAAAATAAAATATCTGAACTAATGTCGAATAACATAACATAATATTGATATAAACTTCGTCTGATGAACTATAATTAGACTATCTGAAAAGGGAAACTGAATAGGGTTGTTTTAAAAAAATTCGATAAAAAACAGTAATTCTACTCTTTCCACAGTAAAAATGTAGGCCTTATTTAAAATATTTTAGAGATCTTGTCTATCAAAATGTCCAGACTAGAAACTAATAATATTTGGGTTAATTAAGAGACTGATACGTTGGTTTTCAATAACTCGTTTCATACGGTAATTCAAACTTTTTACTGTACTGCTTTATTCTGTTAAATATTTTAAAATATTTAATCAATTATTATTTAGAAATTCAAAAATAAATATGTAATGAGGTTTTTTCTTGTATAATTTATATACTTAATAATTCTTTATGTGATTTATTTAGTAAACTATAATTATTTTAAAGCTCAACAAATAGCAATGAAGAAATGTTCAAAGTTCAATTCATAAAGACATTTCGAGTGACACTGAAGTATTTTATTTATTAGCGTATTTATTTTTTATTAACTGCTATTTTTGTTAAGCGATTTTATTTACTCGCATATAACTTTGACATTCATAACTTATAAATAAGTTTGGAAAAATCTGTGTAGACTTTATAAGTCTATGACTTTTTTGGCCTCAATCCTGCGCTACAGACTTAAATGAATGAGCGTCAGCAGAAAATTTCCAGAGAGACATAGCTTGGAGACAAATAATTATATCAATAAATTTTTATTTAATTTTGTTTGCCTTAAAAACCTAAGGGTTTTTAAGACAAACAAAGCCCATGGTCGAGGGTGTAAGTGCACTGTACTATATATCATAATCACTTTTACAATTATAATTTGTAGAATTTTTATTTAATTCCAGGAGAGGGAAAGTACACTGTTTGCTTTCTTCTGCGAACATCCATACTTATATGATCAGATTTTCTAAATCAAACGTAATTAAATAAGAATTAACAATTTAAAATCTGTCCTACTGAAATTTAAATTATATAAACCATAACCATTTCTTGTGTGTAAATCTATTATTATTATATTCTAAACCTATTAGACTATTCTTTTATATTTAGAGTACAAGCATACGCTAAAATATTTATTTGGTTATTAATTAACTAATTTGCTCAAAACAAAATAAATTTGAAATCAATCTAATTTTTATTTTTCTGATAAAATAATTAATGTAAAATAGTTCTACTTTTAAACAGAAATCTTAATATTTTTTTAAAACTACTGTACTCTATATCATGTTATCTACAATATTTTATGTATTTCAGAATATAACCTGATATAGTTTCTGGTTTTCATTTATATAGTATTGAAAACCTAAATGCAAAATTATAGAAAATATAGATTTATGTTTAATTTATACAAAATCCAATTGTTTTCCTCGTTAACAGATGATATTAAACGTTTTGAAATTTCATCAGATCTCAACTGCAATATGCAATACAATTTGTTTTTGTTTTTTAGATAGAATGATCGTACTTACAGATCCTAAATTTTGGTTTCCAATA